ACACACACACACACACACACACACACACACACACACACACACACACATATATAAATGAAGTGAATTATATGAATATTTGTGTTCAGTGCCATGAGCTGACTACTGTTGTGACTTGGCACTATATAAATAAACTGAAGTGAATTGAATAGATATACAGGAAGTACACAAAGATATACAGAAAGTACACACAGATATACAGGAAGTACACACATGAAGACCAGTCGAGAGAATCTGCCACGAGCTGTGTGTGAAGCTTGTTTTTATATGCTTATCAGTTCAGCTGAGCTCACAGACTCAGGGGCATCCTTGAAGCGACAGCTGCACGCTGCAGCCTCACCCAGCTCTCTACTAACACCAAACATATGGTTCATGGGCAGAGTTAGCATTCTCAGCCATAGTAGTTAAAAACATCCATAAACATTGACCAAAAATTCCTTGACACCAAGTTTAAAGAAATTATTTCCTGCTGTCAAAAACTGCAAAAGACAATTGATAATGTTTTGCCTGTCTGTGTGTGTAACATGTGCACGTGTGTCTGTTATTCAAATATCTTAGAAAAAGAAAGTAATCACTGGATATACATCTACAACTGGATTACTTTTGAAGTCAGTCCAATTCTAGATGGCCTCTATTCACAATCTTCCATTTCACAATTCTATAAAACAGAAGAAAAAAAAATCTTGCCAATTTATGCTGGAACGTGCAAATATTTACCAGCTTTAGTTAAAACAATAAATAAAAGCACTTGTAAAATTATACATTAAGAAATTTCTACCAAAGAATGAAGGGATTAAACTGCTGTATTGGCTCCGGACAGAGTTTCAAATGTATTTTTGGTTGTTGTTATCAGATAATCTAAAGCTTTAAATTAAGAATAACAGATTAAAATAGATTATCATTGCTTGTCCACAACTTCTTCTTCTTGCTCAACTCCAGCCATGACCTGATCACAAAATTTCTCCCAAAATTAATTTCCTCCCAAACACATCATGATGTTATTACTCTGATCCTAATATCAAAACATAAATTAAAATATTTTATTCCTGCTTTTTAAACATACTTGAACGTACTGAAAGTTCTGAATGATCAGACACGACTACAAGGATTTTTGTTCCATCTCTACACAATTTTGCCACACGGTGTTGCCCTTCTGTGCATTTAGAAACAAATACACCCCCCTATTTATTTTTTGCTCTTTGTTTTCAACAAACCTGGCATTTTTCTCAGATATCAGCTGAAATATTCAGAACTTACATGTTCCAGTTTTTCCCGCCTGCGGAGCCAAACGCTGGCTGAATAATCCTGCTGCTGAACTGCAGTTATAATGGAGCTGGCCGCAACAGCTGGGGGCTGTAAGCCAAGACTGAATGAGTGACCCCTCAGGTCTTGGCCACGTGATGAGCAGCGGGTCCCTCGAGGCTCCATGGCAGGGTGAATGAATGAATTGCGCAATGGTTTAAAAATGGCTTAAAAATTCAATTAAACGTAAAAAGACTGAATCAGCTTGTTGATGTCCTGGCAACAGGAGCAGAAACATTTGTCTTCTCTGGATTAATCATTTGCATCTTACAATTTTGCACTTTCCTTTGCATGTACTGAAAAAAAAATAAAGACACCTATGAAACTGTATAAAATGATTAAACTTTTCCTCCAACACGGTTCGCTGCTTGCATTCATCATCAGCAACTGTCTTTGAACAGTAGACTGAAAGTAAATTTCAATCATTTCCATTAAAAACATAAAATCCAAGTTTAGAAGTTGACATTCCATAACTGCAACAAGTAATAGTTTTGATCGTCGTCATACCCCTGTGTTCATGAGGTAGAAGCCATGCCACTGCTGGCATAATGTCCAGATTGAAATCCTTCCTCTTTGCTCCTTTCAGAAAGTATGTCTTCATTTTATCATGACGCTGCAGAAATTTGTATGTATTTTCCACGAGATAAACTACCATTTAGCCCAGTGGTGACCTGTTAATCTCCGCTCTCAGCCGACCGGGGACTCCGACAGCACTGATCAGGACTTCCCCAGCGTAGACGAGTTTATGTGAGAGCAGGAAGGCGAAGGGAGGAGTAGCGACGAAGAAAGAGAGGAGGGATGGATGGAGGTGTGGGGTTGCTGATGCAGCATCGAAGTGAAAGAGAAACCCATGTGTGAAATAACAGCGGAACCTGATAAGATTAAATAGTCACCGGACACACCTGCTCCCATACCACTCACCAATTCTTTTTTATTACTTTTTCGTTTCCTCGTCTTTTAATAACACTTTCCTCTCACTTCACCTCTCATGTCAACTCTTATTTTCTTTTGAGTCAAATCTGATCTAGTGATTTCTTTTCCCAGCCAAATTGAAAATGACCATGTTCTTCTTTCCTGTGAGCCATACAATGCATACAAGTGGCCAAACGTGCACACACCTAGGCACACCACAGCAGAGTGGTGCAATGGGGCTGCAGTACCTCTGTTCCCTTACCTTGTTTCAACTTGCCAGAAAAGCAACAGAGCTTCAAACTATTAATTGGCTTCCACCTGGCATCTGGGCAAACTCAAACTATGCACATACTGTGACTGTGTAAAAAGATTTAAGTCCCCACAGTATGACTAATACACCTTCTCTCACACTCACACACACATGCACAGTCTATACAGTGATATCATTAGTGGCAAACAGCCGGTGCATCTCAACTCACTAAAAGGGAAGCAATCCATTTTAATTGCATGCCTGGACTTCCAGCTACTACTGTTTAATGCCCACAGTCTGATCCAGATGACATCATCTGAGTAACAGTCTCAGACAGCTGCTGAATAAAACTAAGCTGAGAAGAATATTATTATTATAAAAATATATATAATGAAAAGTATATTTAGATGTCCTAATTAAATGTGTGTGCACCTGAAAACAACTAATATATTTTTTCCTTTATTTCAGGGGTTGCATGTTTCTATTATTGCACTAAATGTATTATTTATAGAATAAAGCATATGGTAATACCAGCTGTTTATCCACTCCCATGTCCTGCTGTTAGCTCATCATCAAACCCAAGTCAATGTTTGTTGCATGTTTATTGCCTGCCGCCATGAAAGTTGGGAGATGATTTAATTTTCTTTGTGTGTCTGTTTGTCTGTTAGGAAAATATCCCAGTTTTTACAGATTTTAATGAAACTGTCAGAAAGTAATCATTGGATGTACACGTACAACTCATTATCTTTTGGAGTCAACACATGACTGTCACAGCTCCCTTAGCAAACACAAAATAGCTATAAATCAGTCTGTTTTACAGAGAATTAAATTAAATTTGGTGTGGCTCACGTTTGTCAACATTAATATAAAACTTTGGGCCATTCAGCGGACAGCCATATACATTTCTTCATAAAATTCCAGTTTCATCTGCTTTGTTTTGAAAAATGGAAGCCCAGTAAACTTCAACCTAAATTTTATCCAAGGTTTTTCTCCAGTTAAGCCTCATTCTCAATCTATAGATGGACTTTGTGACCTAGAAACAATCTGATAAATGCATTTAAAATGTAAACATGTCATAAAGATCATAACTGATTGCTTCTGAAAAAGGAAACGCTCAAGTGTCATTTCAAAATAATTTATTCTGTTCTATCACACTAATAGGTGAGAACACAAAGTGATAACACGTACTATCATTGTAATGAAATACAGTGAAATTATGTTTGTACAGTTGTCCAAAATATGGGCGGAGTCAGATTCAGATAAGCCACAACTGTAGATTTTTTCAGGCAGACTGTTTTTTTCTTGTCAACCTTCAGTTCTGCTGGTACTTTCAAGATCCAAAATGGCCAGATTAGTGAACATTCCACTGGTCCGTGCTTACGAGCCTCCTCTAAGGTCATTTCCAACACGCTGGTGAGTCCCAGAAGCCGCAGGTGATCTTTGATTCTCACAAATCACTTCCATCTTACTGTTTAGCTTGTAATTAGCCGATGTTGAGTACTCGAAGCACGAATCAAACCTTCACACTGACTTGGCAGTTTTGCCATTGCCAAAACTGCTGCCGCTGTCTTCCTTAATAGCTGATAACATAGGAATCCACCGATGCCAAAAAGCAGAAACTCTGCTATTAAGAATCCAACTATATAAACATCTTCAACATCCTCCTGAAACAAAACGGAAAGACAGATCAGCTCCCAAACTCCCCACGGATCCATGACGTATCCGGCCATGTGAATATCAGCGGGGCATGAGGGCTCTCCAGGACACTGTCGCTTTGTTGAAAATATTTTGTCGATTATGTTGAAAGTCCAGCTGACCAGATCCGTTACAGTAGTTTTTGTTTTGGAAGATATGTAATAGGAGCTTAAATACACAGACAGAGAGCAAATAAAGCAGGAGGAGAACAGGAGACGGAGAGTAAAGGCATCCCCCTTGCATGAGAGCGAGTGCAGAAGATAATAAATAAAACACATTTACTGGTATACAAAAACAAACATGTTAATGTCAGATTGTTTTCTACCAACAAGAAGCACTTAATGCAAATTAAATAATGTGAAATATTATCTTTGCTAAAAAGCTTTTGATAAATACAGAGGAGTCTGCTTAATTCCACAAATAGGTCAATTTTTGCAGTTTTTCAAAAAGTTAAGGAAAAATTAAAGGTTTTTCCATAGGAATGTAGACAAATTTTAAACTTTTTATTTTTCTGAAAAATGCACACAGGGAGAAGTGGATTCAGGTCATAGATCTTCAGTAAAAAGTTTACGAAAGATAAGCGTGTCGTTTATCTCGACAGATGCTGCTGCACAGATCCTGAACTGTCCGTACAATTGATCCAACGCTACCGCCAAGCTGTCGTCTAAAATAGATGTTGTGCTTTAAATCATTTGACCCAAAGTCAATAAAATGTGATGTTCTGTCCATTATCGTTAACGTCTAGAAAGTATCTTTGACCACATAGAAAATGTAAATAAAATACTTTTTTAATTGAATCTTGTGTTTACAGCTTTAAAACAGACAACAACAAAAATCCATATTTTAATTAGAGCAGTGTTCTTTCTCACTTTCTCAGGAGGAAAACAATCTTTAGGTTTAAATATAATTTACCACAACAATGCTGAGTCATGCACATTGTGAAGCAGTACGCATCTTTACGAGTGCTAATATGGCTTCGTTCCTTTCATCCGCTTCTGTGATTTCTCCAGCCACACACCTCTCTGCTAGTACCAGGAGCCATCAGTAGGAACACAAACTGAATACTGAGGCTAATGAGAGGACTTTACTGAACATGAGCCAAACTCTTCCCACAAAAACCCTGCTCTTTCCTGAGGAGCTTTAAGGTTTAAAAGCCCTACAAAATAATGTCACGCTGTCTAGCAAACTGCAAACAGTTGATTGATGAAACACTTTGATTTCATTGCCTGGATTAAAAATGATCCCCAGAAGAAACCAGACTGAAAAACATTAAAGCATCAGACTCCATTTGAAAGCTTCACTGGCTACGTGCACAATACGCTGAATTATGGTTGCGCTTCTCAGAGGCAACAAGAAGTCGTTTATTTATGCGCTCATCAAAACAGCAAGACATTATTGATTAATGCAACCGATTGGTTTGACAGAAAGAGTCTATGTTGATTTACATAATGCACGATAAAGTGTATAAAGTGTTGAGCATCAGCAAAAAAAAAAAAAAAAAAGAATCAACATTTGGTGTAGATTGGGATTATTTTATTGCTCTAAGATGTATTGGCTTTGACAGAGTTTGTTAAACAAACTATAAATAAAGTTGATTCCTGTTTCTGTACTACAACTTTTAGTTGAGTAAATAAACTAAAACGTATTTAGAAGTTAAAATGATAGACACAAATTCAACACAGTGTCATAATTTTATTAAATATGGTGACACTGTAAAGCTATAATTTTAAGCATAATTATTTTCACCTTGAACCAATTTTATGGCGTATGGTGGAACCAGCTACAATGATCAGAGCTGCAGTGGCCTGCACAGGGCACATTCACCAAGTTCCCTTCCAAGTTTTTAAACTTTATTGTAACCAATAAATGCATATACAACCCAAATTCTGAAAAAGTTAAGATATTGTATAAAATATAAAAATAAATCAGAATGCAAGTGAGTCTTCTCATTGTCTCATTTGTTCTTACTGGCCTCGCTAGCTGCTGCTTCTAGGATCAAAATGATGATGAATGTTCCACCTAAACGTTGTTCTTGACTAGGTTGCTTCCTCTGGATAGCTTCCTGCACCTCTCTATTCCACCACCAGGTTTCCTTATCTGTTCTCAGACCAGATCAAAATCAGAATCTGAATCAAGCTTTATTGGCCACGTATGCTTGGAATTTAGTTTTGGTTACAGTAGCTCACGGTGCGCGTAACACTCACTCACACACACACGCACACACAGACACAATCGAAACTTTGAAAACTTTATATTGTGCGTGCTTAATATAAAAATTACTAAAAAATACTGGGTACTTCTGTTATCAGTAGTGGCTAAAGACGAGGACAAGTGAGTGAAGACTCTGCAGTGCAGACACACTATTCAGAGTTTAAATACCGAGGATTTAGTATTTAGTTCAACTATTCAGGAGAGTAATGGCAAGGTGACACACCTTCCTACCTGTCTCTGTAATAACTGTTGTTGTAACAGCCCAGCCATCTGGAAGTTCTTTCAAACCACCAAGATCCTTTAACAGCTTCTCTCTGAACTCCTCACATTCGTGACCCCCACGACATGAAAAGGAAGAAGCGGATAAAGATAATGGAGGAATGGATGAATCTGCTTTCAGGAAGGCTCACTTAGGATACCCACGTTGCTCCAGGGCCTGTCTTGTGTGGGATTTCTCCTTCCCCCAGGCTCCTGAGTTAGTGGGAATGCTGTCTGCTCTGTGGTACAGAGTCCTGATGACTTTTACATTGGAGATGACTTCTAATTTGAGATGCAGCTTCTAATGGCAGTGGAGGTGGTCTCCAGCTACAAGTACTTGGGTGTACACCTGAATAACAACCTCAGCTGGAGCAACAACACCACCAGCCTGATCAAAAAAGCTCATCAGAGACTCTACTTTCTCAGGCGGCTGAGATGAGCTGGTCTGGGAAGCTCAGTCCTCACCTCCTTCTACAGGTGTGCAGAGGAGAGCATCCTGTGCTCCAGCATCAACGTGTGGCATGGAGGCTGCACAGCTGCAGAAAGAAAAGCTTTGCAGAGAGTGGTGAAGGCTGCACAGAAGACTGTTGGAGTCAGCCTCCCCACCATCACAGACATCTACACCTCTAGATGCAGGAAGAGAACAACACCTGCATCATGAAGGTTCTGTGTTCATGCGTGCTCATCTACTCACACAGACTCATGTTCGTGCTGCTGTTCGGCGTATTGTTTCTATGCTATTAGTGCTTAGCGTATTTTTAGTTGATGTTTTTCTTATTTCATATTTTAGATCTTATTACTGTTTCTCTTTTACATTTTATTGTTGGATGTAACTGGGACCCTGTGTACACAATGTCGTGCATGTACTACATGTGGTGGAACGACAATAAAGAAACTCTGACTCTGACTAAAAAAGCTGCATCTAAAATATTGGAATAATTTTAGAATAATGTTCCTCAATGGTAAATTGCGGAGACTTTGAACGTTCCATCATCTCTAGTTCATAATATAATTTTGAATTATTCCTTAAAATCTATTACAATATAGAATGAAACCTGCCCTTAAACAAAAGGACATATGGAACTCTTTCAAACCCATTTTTAAATTCTTAGCAGTGACTTTTAACAAAGACGTCTTGCAATGACTGACTGGGGTATTGCTGACCCTTTTCATAATGTAGGAATAAAAATCAGCAAAGCCAGTAATGAACAAGAAGTTTCCGTCAGAAAGCTAAAAAAGTTACTTTTTTTTTCCACAGCTCCTTTGAAGCATTCTGTCCCTTAAATTACTTCTCAGCTCAGCCAATTGAAAGCTGATATTCATGGTACATAAATAAACATTTTCTCAATGTACATGACTGCTGCGTCTGCACATAAAAAATCCATGACCTTTCCTTTACAAAGTCAGCCAAAGATTAGTCAGCCAAATATGCCTAAGTCATAATCAGCAACACCTCTAAATCATCAACAGCACTAAGGATCAGAGACGCCTTACATTTAAACTTCCCAGCTCCTAACCATGCAGAGGAATGTGGATGAAGTGTTTCACTTCTCATCCACAGGTAAGCAGCATGTGTCACTACAACATGAGTGGACCATTAAACCATTGTCTGTATGTGGTATGTCCTGTGATAACCCAGAGTAAGGAAAGTTAATGGACTCTGTCCTGCACAGTGTATGAACTAAGAACTTTGAGTTACAGTATAAAAAAATTCATAAAAATAAGTTGTGACAAGATAAATATTTCTAAAAAAAAAAAAAACCTTCAATGATTCATCATGTTTCCTTTTACATTACACTGTGTCTCTCCCAAGCTGCCTTTTAGACAGAAATATACTTTTACTCTCACTAAAGTGTCTAAATCTTCCTCGGTGCATCTTTCTTCATCTTTTCTTGTCTCCTGTGATTTCAGGCTCTTCCGTGACACTTTCCAAATTTCACAATCTGCAAATCACGCTGGATGTGATTGATCATTCAGGCTCAGTAAAAGTAACACACACTCATAAAATAAGGTCAATCATATCATAACCATATATCATAAAGTTTGATTTAGCCGCATTTAAAGACATAGTAAAGCAGAAAGGAAAGAACTGATGAGAAAAGCAAGAAAGAAAAATACTAAAGGAGAAAATAATACTGCAGGAAAAAAAAAACAGGAGAGAAAAAACAGCTCATATTTGAACACAAACATGTATTTTGCATGTATATGTATGCATGCATTATTTAAAGTACATGTACATTAACCCACGGGTTACATAGTAGATAAGTATAGAAAAATGTGTCACAGATACATGCCATTGATAGAAACGTGATAATATATTAATATGAGGAAGAAGATATAACCACACAGCACGTTTTAATCATACTAACACAAACGTGAGGAATGAAAGAAGAAAATTATTTAGACTCTAAGTGAAATAAAAGTTGGATTATAGTGATTATTATAAGCTTTGATGTATTGCCTCCATCACATATCATGATTTTTAGCTGTACAGTGTCCTTGAGTGTCCCGAAACGCACTTTTGAACTAAAATGCTTTACATTACATTATTGTTGTAGAGACTGTGAGTTGCATTATCGCCAGTTGGTGGCGGTAAAGCGTTATTTCATTATTTGCTACCCGCTAAATTATACAAAAGAAGAAAAAAGGAACCACAAAACACACGCCTGTTAAAATAAAACTAAGCTATGGCCAACGACAAGGTTTGTCCTTTAAACATTAAGTCCGATTTCCGATGTAAATAGTCTATATTTAGATTCTACTTATATCTGGATTGCATTTTATATGCTCTTTAGCTGTTAGCATTAGCTTGTAAGCCTTTAGCTAGCTTTACTGTAGCATGTAGCATTGATTTACTTTTTGTTTACTTTTTTGTTATGGTCATGTTTTTACAACCTCTTAAAAATAATAAGTATAGCAAACAATTTTATTGCTTTCAAGCTGTTATTTACTGAAATTTAATATTTACCTGATTGTTGCCAAACTGAAAGTTTCTCACGAAAGCAACTTTTAGGGTTCGTGTTAAAACAACACGGTGTGAGGCGTTTGAGGACTGCTCAGGCTCTGTAAAAAAGACGAATACTTATGTTAACAAAATTATCATTTGAGGTTTAAAGAAGTTATCTCAATAGAGTAAAAAAGAAAGAAATAAATTATACCAAAAATCATATATTTGAATTAGGAAAGGTTATATAAGTTAACTTATATGTGCAACAATGATTACAGATTCAACAAGTAAGAATATGAAATAATGAAACCTTCTAATAGTATAATATATTATGCCCCTATAGATCAACCAATAGTCATAACCTATATCCCTAGTTACCCTATATTAATTAAAGTGGTTATTACTTTATTTCAATAAGTGATGCTGAAAACTTGAACACATTTTTTTTTTTTTAAGTTTATTAACAATAACATACACCATTCAGGAGGTTACAGACCACCATAAAAAAATGCATTTACCACCATTATAACAAAAACACATGTTACCGGTAACCTATTAATATGTATGCCAAATATGATGTGTGACCAAGAAAGGCGTTTTATACTCATCATTTCTATAATCATAGGTAGGCCTGCCTCGAAATTGCATGCAGGCTAGTCATTTTAGGTTTTATTCCCAACATACGAGCGTCATAACAGCTCTTGACAAGTATGTTCTATCTCAGATTAGAAAGAGGTACATCACGAACCAACAAAAACTCTTTAAACTGCGCAACATTGACTTTGTCGGTTGCCCCCAAACAATTCCACAAACCATTGCATGCCGAATTCAGTAGGCAGTGCTAAAAAAAGATAACGGTATCTGCAAAATGGTTCATTGAACAAAGTTGTCATTTACATTTTAGAGATTGCCATAAAACTTGCAGCAGATATTATTTGATAAATGTTCAGAAGCTTAAGTGATTAGAATATTAATTAACAATTAGTATAGTTAATTTATATCACAATTGAAAGAAACATTTAGTCACCCGGGCAGCACGGTGGCGCAACTGGTAGAGCTGCTGCCTCTCAGCGAGCAGGTCCCTGGTTCAAACCCCAGTCCGGAGGCCTTTCTGGGTGGAGTTTGCATGTTCTCTCCGTGCATGCGTGGGTTTTCTCCGGGTACTCCGGTTTCCTCCCACAGACCAAAAACATGCATATTTGACTGATTGGTAACTCTAAATTGACCCTAGGTGTGAGTGAGAGTGAATGTTTGTTTGTCTCTATGTGTCCCTGTGGTGGACTTGCGACCCGTCCAGGGTGTACCTCACCCCTCGCACAGTGATTGCTGGACATGGGCACCGGCGACCCCCGTGACCCAAAATGGAAGAAGCAGGTAAACATAATGGATGGATGGATGGATTTATTCACTCCAAAAGACCAAGTTTGTTACTGCATAAAAATTATATCGTCATTGCCATTTCCAAATTTTGCTGATTAAAAACACTGACGTATGTACTGACAAATCAGCTTAGTTTTTAAAATTTTGGTAGCAGTACTTTAAAAACACAAACTAACAGTTTTTTAGGTTTAAAAAAGTCCTTTTGCTTGCTTTTTGCTTGGAAGCAAATATGTGTGTTTCCTTGACTGATGAAGCCTTCTGGATCGAAGGCGAAACATTTCAGCACAAAAAAAGAAACTGTCCAGATGACCTGACTGAAAAATG